ATGAAATTTCAGAAAAATTGCCCAAAAGCTGTGATGGTACCCCTTTCCAATCTGCCAAAAATTGACCTAGAATAAATCCGTCCAAATCAGTGCTTAATGGACTTAATCATCGTTGAAGAATAGTCTCAGACCGAATCTATGGTCAGTAGCATTCAAAATACATCCGAAAATGGCCTTTCGACGCCCACAAAATTACAAAAATGCCATCCGAAAATAAATTTGCTCAAATCGGTGCTTAATGGACTTATCATTTGTGGAGAGTAGGATCAATAGACTTCATTATCGGTGGAGTATAGCATCGGCCTGATTTCGTTATCTATAGCCTCCAAAATCAGAAGAAAATGGCATTTCGGAAAAATCGCCCAAAATCTATGATGGTACCCCTTTGGAATCTGCCAAAAATTGACCCGGAATAAATCCTCCCAAATCGGTGCTTAATGGACTTAATCATCGTTGAAGAATAGCCTCAGACCGAATCAGTGATATGCAGCCTTCAAAATCCAAAGAAAATGGCCTTTCGACGCCCACAAAATTACCAAAACGACATCCGAAAATGGATTGGCCCAAATCGGTGCTTAATGGACTTATCATCCGTAGAGAATAGGATCAATAGACTTCATTATCGGTGGATAATAGCCACGACCTGATTTCATGATCTGTAGCCTCCATAATCTAAAGAAAATGGAATTTCAGAAAAATCACCCAAAATCTGTGATGGTGCCCCTTTGCAATCTGCAAAAAATTGACGTTGAATAAATCCTTACAAATCGATGCTTAATGCACTTAATCATCGTTGAAGAATAGCCTCCGGGCGAATTCATGATCTGTAGCCTTCAAAATCCAAATAAAATGGTCTTTCGACGCCCACAAAATTACGAAAATGCCATCAGAAAATAGATTGGCCCAAATCGATGCTTAATGGTCTTGTCATCCTTGGAGAATAGGATCAATAGACTTCATTATCGGTGGAGAATAGCCTCGGCCTGATTCTGTGATCTGTAGCCTCCAGGATCGAAAGAAAATGGCATTTAGGAAAAATCGCCCAAAATCTGTGATGGTACCCCTTTGTAATCTACCAAAAATTGACATGGAATAAATCCGACCAAATCGGTGCTTAATGGACTTAATCATCGTTGAAGAATAGCCTCAGGCCGAATCCGTGATATGTAGCCTTCAAAATCCAAAGAAAATGGCCTTTCGACGCTTACAAAATTACAAAAATGTTATTCGAAAATAAATTGGCCCAAATCGGTGCTTAATGGACTTATCATCCGTGGAGAATAGGATCAATAGACTTCATTATCGGTGGAGAATAGCCTCGGCCTGATTCTGTGATCTGTAGCCTCCAGGATCGAAAGAAAATGGCATTTCGGAAAAATCGCCCAAAATCTGTGATGGTACCCCTTTGCAATCTACCAAAAATTGACCTGAAATAAATCCGACCAAATCGGTGCTTGATGGACTTAATAACCGTTGAACAATAGCCTCAGGCTGAATCCGTGATCTGTAGCCTTCAAAATCCAAAGAAAATGGCCTTTCGACGTCCACAAAATTAGGAAAATGTCATACGAAAATAAATTGGCCCAAATCGGTGCTTAATGAACTTATCATCCGTGGAGAATAGGATCAATAGACTTCATTATTGGTGGAGAATAGCCTCGACCTGATTCTGTGATCTGTAGCCTCCATAATCGAAAGTAAATGACATTTCGGAAAAATCGCCCAAAAAATTGACCCGGAAAAATCCGTCCAAATCGGTGCTTAATGGACTTAATCATCGTTGAAGGATAGCCTCGGGCCGAATCCGTGATTTGTAGCCTTCAAAATCCAAAGAAAATGGCCTTTCGACGACCACAAAATTACGAAAATGCCATACAAAAATAAATTGGACCGAATCGGTGCTTAATAGACTTATCATCCGTGGAGAATATGATCCATAGACTTTATTATCGGTGGATAATAGCCTCGGCCTGATTCCGTCATCTGTAGCCTCCTGAATCGAAAGGAAATGGCATTTCGGAAAAATCGGCCAAAATCTATGATGGTACCCCTTTGCAATCTGCCAAAATGGACCTGGAATAAGTCCGTCCAAATCGGTGCTTAGTGGACTTAATAGCCTCGGGCCGAATCCGTGATTTGTAGCCTTCAAAATCCAAAGAAAATGGCCTTTCGACGACCACAAAATTACAAAAAATGCCATACAAAAATAAATTGGACCAAATCGGTGCTTAATAGACTTATCATCCGTGAAGAATAGGATCCATAGACTTTATTATCGGTGGAGATCGAATAGCCTCGGCCTGATTCCGTGATTTGTAGCCTCCTGAATCGAAAGAAAATGGCATTTCGGAAAAATCGCCCAAAATCTGTGATGGTTCCCCTTTGCAATCTGCCAAAAATTGACCCGGGATAAATCCGTCCAAATCGGTGCTTAGTGGACTTAATCATCGTTGAAAGTGTTCGGGATCCCTACTTCAGAGCCGGGGACGCAGAGGTTGATTATGGTGATTCGGAGGTGTGTTTCGTTGACTGCTTTGTCGACATTGATCAACATGGTGACAATCCTAACGTGCACGCTGGGGCGGGATGCTAGGAGGCTTGGTGATGTCGACAATGGGGATCATGTGGCCCTGCGCCATGAATGGGATCAAGACGAGGTGGACTATTTGTTGATTCTTGGGTGGTGATGGCGAATCCATTATGGAATTTTGATCTATCTTTTCTTGATACAGCGGCAATGGAAGAGGAGGGAATGGAATTTGGAAGACGTTGGTTGTTGAACTGGGACAGGACCGAGTAAGGTAGAAGTAGAGGGAGAGATTGCCTTTGATAGAAGCACATAAATGAGCTCTCGCGAGTGTCTCTATCTCTCTTGTTTGTTACATAATCAAAAAGACTGGAGTCAGTCAGCTTTGCTTGACGGTGCTTTGTTCGTTTTGGGACTAAATATGGCCACAACACCCGTTTCTTTCTCCCTTTCGAATGGATTACATCAGAACTTTCCATGCGGATCCCCTAGTGGTTTTGTATGCAGATGTTGAAATGGAAGATGATGAGAATGACAAAAAGAATGCGAAGCCATGGGGGAAGAAAATCAAGAAGTCCAAGCATGCAAAAAAACAATCACCGAGGTGATAAGGATAACTTCAAGGAGATGCGATCTTAATCTTTAGGACATTGCATTCAAATTTCTTTCTAATCTGAAAATTTACTTAATTCATATAACAAATTCCTCAAGTAGACTATAAACCACACAAAACATACCAGAAATTTTCTAATGAAGACCACAAACACAGTCAAGCAAACCACAAAAAAATACTATAAACCTCCTAATGCATGCCACAAATTGCCTAAATATATCATAAACCCCACAAAGCATACCACAAATATCTCATAAACACACCAAAAAATCTCTTAATGCAGACAACAAACATGGTAAAGCAAACAAAAAAAAAGCATACCAAAAACTCCTAATGTAAACCACGAATCCCCTAAAACATACCACAAACCCCACAATGCATACCACAAAATATTTCATAACACACTAGAAACTTCTTAATTCAAACCACAAACACGGCAAAGCAAAACTCACAAACCCGAAGCCTCGTAATGTAGACCACAAATCTATGAAAATATACCAGAAACTCCACAAAGTAAACTACAATTTTTTTTCGAAAGCACACCATAAACTTCTTAGTGCATACCACAAACACGATAAATCATACCACAAAAGGCATACAAAAAACATGAGAAAGCAAACCATAAATCTCACAATGGAGACCACTATACCCTGTGATCGTTGACCGTTAATCGGTCATCAAAGATCGTTGACCAAACTCCGACGAACCGATAAGTATATTCCGGCCTCGATGACTAGATTCCGAAGTCGGTAAGCATATTCCGACCATGGTGATTGGATTCCGGCGACGTTGAGCATATTTCGACAATGATGGGAGGATTCTGGCGACAGTTAGCATATTCCGGCGACCAAAAATTTGGACAAAAAATAAATATTTTATTTATAAATATTTTATGTTTCTACCATTAATTTTTTTTATTGGGGGAGAGAGCCTTTCCCTATGTCTTCTAATGGGGGCAGCCTTCTGGATAAAACCCTTCCCATACTGGGCTTGTTTCAAGCGATCCAAAGGGAGGAGGAGAGCGTTTTTCACATGTCAGCAAATGACCCAATTCATTCTCTTCCCCTGGCCCAATCTCAGGGTCCACTATCTTCACTTTCTAAGGGCCTCATTTGTATGTTCATTGCAGAAGTTTAGAGGAAATTTCTGCCCAAAAAAACATGGACGAGAGGTGACTGGAAGCGATGGCAAATGAAGTAGGCAAATGCCTTTTCATTTTTCATCTCTTTGTCCTAAATTCCATTTGGCTTTTTACTCATGAATTTGGACATTTAAACTAAATAATTTATGATCCACATATTTAGGGACATATAAAAGTAATAATAAGGAGTTCATCTATAGAGAGTTATTGCTTATGGAAATATTTTATAAGAAATTAATGCATGATCGTAAAATACTTGGGGCAGAGGGAAAGTTTTTCACCTTGCATCTAAAATCCTCTTCCGATATAGACGTAGAGTCTCGTATTTCTCCCTCGGAATATTGGGAGCGATAATTTTTTTGAATCGTCTAATTCGTCATTCGATATATTTGTAATTTTGTATGATGTTTAATTTTTGTTGCGTTTTAATTCAATAGCCCGTATTTAACTCTGGATTAGAAACAAAAAAAAAAGGAACGTTTTTGCCACACTAATAATGTGGCTAGACTCTAGATCACAAGACTTCCAGGGCAAAAAAAAAATATATATTGCATGAACCGATTTTTCTGGTTTGCTATCAGTTTTTAGGAGCATGCAAGAAAGAACTATGCATGGTTTATCTTCTTTGTTTTCTTCATCTTATGCATGTAATAGTTAACATCTAGAATTACTAATAATGTGAAAGGCTAATAATGTGACAATCTAATTCACGTGAAAGGTTTTACCCAATGCAAAGCGTAGGCCATCAAACTAATATGAATTTAACTTCTCATAGAAATGGTGCACCGAAAAATACGTAGCATGACAAATACATAAATGGTTAACAACAAGATGGAAGAACAGGTAGCTATATCTACGCAGTAAGCAAGGAATGAGGATGAAGGTGAAGGTAACCGGCCGCCGCCGGCGACGAAGACGCCGAACTCGGCGGCATCTGCGGCCGGGGTTTCCATGCCGAAGCAGTAAGCAAACAAAGATCCTTCCAACCAAGCTTCAGCGCGCCGCCGTCCTCCACCAAAGTGTAACCATCCGAAGGGAACATCCCAAGCAGCAACGTAGCTTGCGTTGCTGCATTCCCTGCAAGAGACACGCCCGTGAAACCTGACTCCTGCAGCTTCTCCCTCCAGCTGCTGTGGAATTTCACCACCGCCGCCGCGTGATCGTCGTCCACGGCGGCGGCCGCTTCGCGGCGGGACGGCCCTCCCACGGCCAGAACGTTGCGTATCTCCTTGGACAGCAGCTGCTGCTCCACCATGTGCCTCTCCTCGCTCTCTTCACCGTAGCTCGCTCCGAGCGAGTCGAATAGGGCGGAGTAGTAGTGGATCGCTTCCACGAACCGGCCGAGGAACGAGCCCGCGTGGCTCAGGTCTTGTTCCACCACCGTCACCACTTTCGGCGCCAACCTACGGGGAATACCAATCAATCACATTGATCATACAACACAAATTAAAAAAAATAAAGAATATATAAATTTATGTGGTATACTAACACGATATGTCGATAATCAACATACACGAGCAGAAAAAATTAGTTTCACTGTACGATTGATGAGTACCTATCAAGGTTGTCAAACCGGTTTATGCCAGTGTGCCGGTTTAGCAAGTGGAATGGTTCGACCGGTGGCACATACCGGTTTGTGCCGGTTCATGCCGGTCAATATTACAAATAAAATTATAAATACTCATATTTATACATGACATTTATCGTCAATACCTAAACATTTATACTTGAATTCTACAAATAACTTCAATATTTAACTTTTATACTCATAAAATAATAATTTAATAACTTTTATCAATTAAATTCACTAAAACAAGGTCATTTTACTTATAAATTCGTATATCGATCATGCCGGTCATACCGGTGATGTCACCCCGGTTTTATGACCGGTATCGGTTGAACCAGGTACAACCGGTGTTACGCCGGCCCGCGTGACTATTTAATTTGGATATATTGAAGTGAACATTTTTTTTTTCATTGAATACAAGAATTCTCTCATAATTGGAACATCATTAAACTTCAACTCTAGCTACGCCATGAACGGCAACAATATGAATGAAATATGTAATGGCAGAATCAAGATAGTTAATTACCTCTGCAAGAGCAAGAGCGTATTGGGGTCCGAGCCAGTGACGTCGTAGAGCGAGTGCTGCAACCAGTGAACGGCGACCGCCTCCCTCCTACTCACGTTCAGCTTCTCCGGGCTCACATTCCCGACCTTATCCGCAACCGGAAAGAACTCAAAACAAAGACCGAGCTTCCGTGCGAAATCCGACAGCCGGCTCCCCGTCGCCTGAAGCGAATCCAACGAGGTCCCAAGCCCAGTGAGCCGGACGTACTTCGGCGGCCCACCGGGCCGCGAAGCCAGAATGTGAAACAGGCCGGGCCACTGCAACCCTTGCATAATATCCAGATCTATGATGTGCACCCTGTCCTCCCCGTCAAACGCCTCCTGAATCGCCTGGTTGGCGGTGAAGTGGGAGAATTTCACGAAGGGGCTGATCCCGTTGAACACCTGGAACGCCGTCCCCATCCTCGCGGAGTGGCTCGGCGGGGCCGATCCGGGCGGCAGCGCGGCGGCGTACATCCCGAGGCAGCAGCTCACCAGCCTCGCCGACATCGCCTCCGAGAAGTACGCCGCCACGCGCTGCGCCGAGGTCCCGTACGGGGTGGAGAGCTCCGAGATCTCGAGCAGCATCCTGCTCGCCTCCTCCAGGTTGTCCGCCGAGATCGCCTCGGCGCACTGGAGGAGCAGCGTCAGGAGGTGCAGCCCTTCCTCGTCCCTCTTCCGCTGCTCCTTCTCCGCCTTCTCGTCGCTCCTCCGCCGCATCCGCTTCTCCTGTTCCGCCGCCGCCGTCACCGCTTCCGGTTCCGGAACGGAACCAGATCCAGATCTATCGTCATCTTGATTTTGAATTTCGGATCCCGATGAGGAAGTGACAACGTTGAATTTTGCAGAGGCCACCGCCGCGGCGGAGGCGGAGCTGTTATTGTGGTAGATTCGTTGCTGCGGCGGCTGCGGCGGAGGAGGAGGAGGCGGCCTGGTGGAAGGAAGTAGGAGGGCGGGCTCTCCGCGAGCCGGGATTGGGATTGGGCTTGGGCCCGGGTCGAGCAGGCTGCGGAGCCGGTACTCGAGCAAGGCGGCGAGATTAGGGTTGCAAGGGTAAATGATTTCCCTTACATTTTGAATCAGCTGGGGGATTGAGACGTTTGCTGAGCTGTGGATGAGGTCTCTGATGATCCCATCGATCCATGCCGCCGCCGCGGCGGAGGATTCGTCATCGTCCATCAGAACGGGACTCGATCCAACTGTTGCAGGAATATTACTCGTGATCACCGGAACTTGCCTCTGATCCGGAGGGAACAGAGGGAGGCCGGAGAAGCCGCACACCGCCGCCGCCGCCGACGGTGGTGCGGCAAAGTTGTTGTTGTTGTTGTTGGGATTGGTGATTTGAGTTGGAGGCGGTGCTGGAGCTGACGTGGAGGTGGTGGTCATTGCGGTCAACAAGTTGGCGAAGGAAGCAGCGGCGGCGGTTGCAGGAGTAAATGTTGGTGGTGGAGTGGGAGTTGTGGTGGAGTGGTTGAGATGAAACGGGTGGGGTGTAAATGCGGTATTATTAATGGCGATCGTATTCATGACCTGCTGTTGCCTGCTGCCATCATCGTCTGTCCTGCGATGATAACGACGGTGGTTCTGCTGCTGCAGCATTTGATCGGACGGTGGTGCGACCCTCTTTCTCTCCATTCGCCGGCCGTCGTTGTTGTCCGGGGTTTGGTTGACGCTGCTGCTGTTTCTGGTGGCCGCCATGGAATTTAAACCCAAGGAGAAAGAAAGGGAAAAAGGGGCACAGGAGTCAACGAGTGTGGCTGCTAGCTTCTTCACTAGGCGGGAATCCGATCGAGGGAAAACGGAGATCGCGGCGGGGCTGGTGGCTCGAGTCTCTTTTCCCAAGGCTGTTTGGCTCTGTATCTAAAGACTAAAAGCTAGGAGAGAGAGAGTGTGAGAGACTAGCTGATCTTGGTTCTTCTGACCTTGGCAACCTGGTTCGCCATTATTATAGTCTCGTTTTCCTCTTCAATCACCATCGGGGTACGATCTACGAGAGAGAAGGGGGTAGCCTTTTTGAGTGACCTTTTTGAAGAGTCTCGATTAGGTTTTTGCTCTCTTGATCCTCGATCCCACCTTTTGAACTTTTGGTTGATCTGGGGAGGACGAGAGATGAACTGACAACGAGCAAAAAGTGGGGTGCAATTTTCCTACTCTTTTAAAATCGTATAGTATGCGCACCGGAATCGACGCATTTTGGATCCTTCTGACCAGCTTTTCGTCGAACACCCCCTTGCCTCTCTGCTGTAAAGTGGAAAAATCACTGGTGCAACTTTTTGTTTCTTGTTCTTGGCGGATGAATGGTGCAACTAGGGGTAGGGATGACAATTTTGCCTATACCCATGAGTATTTTACTATCCAATCCAATTGGGTTGGGTATGAAATCCAAATATATGGATATGGGTAAAGTTTGATGGGTTTGTACCCATATCCATTTACTTTGGGTTGGATTTGGGTTTGTCCCCATGCTCAAATACAAATTACAGTTTGGTACCTAAACTTAATAGATATGCATATTTAGTACTTAAATTTATTTTTTTTTGCATATAAGTCCTCAAAATATCGATGGAAAATTACATTTTGGTACCTAAATATTTTTGGTCTTACATTTTGGTACCTAAAATTTTCAAGTTTTACAAATAAGTCCAATTTTTGCATGTGTAGTTAAAACACTCTCAAGTAAATGGATATCCATATCCAACCCATACCCATTTAGATAATATCCATATCTAACCAAACCCATACACACATCACCCAAACCCTACCCATAATAAATGGGTCTACTTGGATTTGGGCAAAATTACCCATGGGTGGGTAAATTGCCATCCCTAACTAGGGGTGAAAATGCTCGGAAAGCTCGTTCCACACTCCTTTGTTTATTACCGAATTGAATTTTAGCCGATTTTTGTTAAACTTGTGAGGTTCGAGGGTTAGGTTGGTTGTTGAGTTCAATTTATGAGTTGATTCATGTTGAATTTATGAGTTAGTTCGACAATGTGATTAGTGATTTATTTTAATTAGCGACTTATGAATTAGTTTGTTGATGTCTTGATGATACATCTCAATATAAATGATGCTTGAGACTTTGATAATTAAGTACATGAGCAAATATGGCTCATTTTGAATTGAAAAGAAAAACTATATATTTATAGTGTTTAGATACTCATTATTATTAAATAACATGGTATGAACGAGTTATAATTTATCATAATCAAAAAGTGTCCAACACAAAATGCAATGTTCAAAACTTCTTCATGGTTCGCGGCAAACTCCGAGTCTTCCAATTAGTCACAACAGATTTTTTTTCCAAAATACTAGACTTGCTTTAAAAATATTCACACAATACCAATTTTACACTGAAAATTCTCAAAATAGTGAAATACACAATACCAATTTTGGCATGGTTCATTGGCATTTCGAGCGATCTTGGTTGGTTCGAGGCTTGTTCACTTTGGTTGCCCACAATTTGGGTTAGATAACTCTACTTCTAGCGAATCGGTACCTAGATTGCTAGACATTGCAATAACCCACGAATTTTTATTTATTTATTTTGGGAATTTTAGTGTAAGTGTGATATTTTGGGAAAATCCATAAACATGAAACTAATTAATACTGAAAATTTTATTATTATATTTTTATGATGACATTAATCACATATATTATATAATTAGGTGATATATGTTACAAAACAAAACTCTCATATTATGTAGTACTACAAAACCATATACAGATGATTGAGAGCGGAGAAGGTGTGATCTAATGGTCATATTTGCATATAAGGAGTAAAAGTATGAGTTTGAGGGACTGTGGGAAAAATATTTTGTGGGCGGCACGCATCTTTAGGTGTGGGTAGAGGCACTTTTTAAAACTCAAATGAATCTTCAACGAACGATATCTACATCGTTGTATCGAATTTCAAAAAATTGCTTGCAAAATTGAGATTATGATATTATCATAGTAGTAATATATATCATGATATGAAAATTGTATGATGTTGTTGTCCGTCTTACCATGGTGGTAAGATCATGGTATGAGAATGATGATATGATATTACGAGGATAGATATCTCGAGTACCACTAAAGTATGAGAATTGGAAGAGCTATACCACTTAAGTAAAAATAGGGTGTCGGGTACCATTAACGTAATTGAATTGTACATTCGTTTAACATTTCATCTGTCTACCTAACAACGAATAAAATACTGTTTATTTGTCAGAAATTTTAAGATAAGGCAGCAAAATTTAAAAAACCAAATCGCCCGCCTCTAGCCTCCATCTCCAAACCCTTACACCGTCCATTGCGGCCACTGACCCTGCAAATTCTTCACGATCCAATCTTAACTTTGAGATTCCTTAGCCGAGCTCATTAGTATTGAACCGAGTTCGAGTTAAATACGATCTTAAGTTGCAGTAGGTAAGTCAAATCTTAAACTTAAATGATTATTAACGAGCTAGACGCAAATTAGATAAGTGGACTTGCATGAGTATTTGGTAACTCATGGCCGGAAACTTTATCAAGTATCAACAATATTGGTTGCTCCGGCGACGCCTCTGCTCCGTCGCCAGATGGTACGCCATATACACTTGGTATATGCACATGCTATACGCTACGCATGCTTTTGGAAGAAAATTGGGAATAACGCCATTAGATGGGATTGGGAGGGAATAGACAGCACAGCAGGTGGTTTGACTTTACGCTGGGAGGCATATTTACCTTGTCCTCTTCTTCTTCCTCTCTTACTCTTTTTATAGTTTTGCTATTGTTGGGTTATAAGGTTCGGAATGTTTGGTACCTACTCTGCCGTCCCTTTCCGCAAATCCCCTTGAGTTTTATCTTCTCTCTATGCTTACTTTCAAATCGTGTCTCTCTGTTTTCCTTTCCCCCACATCGCCCTTTTCTACTGTATTGTATGTACATCGAACCCATACTGATTCTGCCCAAACAAGAGGAAACGAGGACGAGCGAGAAAACAACAAGAGAACATCGTGGAAGAAAAAAAATGCACATCGATAATTGTTGCATGGTTCTTGGATGGTTTTGCTTCATAGTATGCCATTGTTCTGTTGCAGTGTGTGGTCTATTCCCCCTCATTATTAGCATGCAAAGCAACCACCCTAAGTCATATAATGGAAGCCCAAAAGCACGAAAACAAGAGGTATATTGAGATGCTGTTTGATGAGTCTGACAGTGAGTTTAGATGGATGTGTGTTGGATATACATGTTTAGCATTGTTGCTCAAGGGTATAGTTAGTATTAGGGTTGTTAGTCGGTCCGGTTATAGCTGTAGCTGTTTGTTCGGTTATTGGTTGACCGTTAAGCATTTGACTTACCGTTATCATATCGTTTATATTAGTCGATTAATCGTAATCGCATAATTAATTATCAATTATTATATCGGTTAATCAACTGACCGTTTAGCAAGTGATTCAGAAATATTATACCAAAATAATCAATCGGCAACCGAACAAATAAAAGGCCTCTCTTCTCTTTTTTTTTTCTTTTTGATTCTGCATTTTTTAGATGTTTCCCGTATGTGCACTTTTTTATATTTTTATCATTGATTTGAGTTTGTTTTGTTGTTTCTATTGGAACTCACAGAAGAAAGCAAAGAGACAACGAAGGAGAAGAGGGATCAGTATGAACTCGATGAGAGAAGTTGTTAATGGAAGAAATTGGGGGTACGGTCTTTGCTATCTTTCTTCCAATTCAATCTGGATGCCTGCATATCAGTCTCAGAATTGACGACGCTCTTTACAATATTTTTTTTCAATTTTAGGGTTCACATTAGGAGGAAATTGAGGATGAAGAAAGGGGTTTGGGTGGGAGGAGATTATTTGTTCCAAGTCCAATATATTTTTTGAGAGAGATATGACAATTTTGTGGAGAGAAACATAGATAATTATATTCAGTCAATCGTTAACTGATTATTCGGTTATCGGTTATACCGGAAGTCATTTGTTAATCAAGGTTATCGATGTAACCGTCAACCGACTAAATATTGGTTGAGTTTTGTTCACGGGATAAAATATTTATGGGAGTTGCTAAAGGTCGCCCTTAGAATTACTAAAGGTCGCCCTAAAAAAGTTTAAAATTACAATTATAACCCCCTATCTTCTTTACCTTCCCTTTATCAAACAAACACCACTTGGACAAAAAAAAACACTATCCAAGAAGAGAAAAATCCATCATCGTCATTTTGAAGCCGATATCGTCGATAGGACGTCTGAATCATGAGTAGCGACTCCGACGAGGTAAATACATTAACTGAAAAACGAAAAAAAAAAAAGGGAACCGCGGTCAAACTGCGGTTGGACCATGGCTGGACCGCAAATGACCTGCGGTTGGACCATGGCTGGACCGCAAATCACCTGCGGTTCAGCCATGGTCCAACCGCAGGTCATTTGCGGTCCAGCCATGGTCAAACCGCAGGTCATTTGCGGTCCAGCCATGGTCCAACCGCAGTTTGACCGCGATCCAGCCATGGTCAAACCGAGCGTTGACCGCGGTTGACCGTCGGTCTAACCGCGGTTTGACTGCGGTCGGCACGGTTTTTTTTTTTTTTTTACCTTCTTCTTCTCCGGCGGCGGCGAGCGCGCGACTTCTTCTTCTCCGGCGGGCAAGGAGACTTCTTCTTCTCCGGCGGCGAGCGCGCGACAGGTAAAGGGTCGTCTGCGCGTCGGTGGACCAGGAGGCAGAGCAGGTCGCCGGCGACGGGAGCGACACGGCGGCAACGACGGGAGCAGGAGGCCGGCGACAGGAACAGTAGAGGGGGAGGGGTTCGCCGGCGGCGACTCGGAGAGGGTGGAAGGTTTGTGGATTCGTCTGCTGCCGAAGGAAAGGTAAAGGGTTGTTTGGTTGTCCTATTTTTTCAATTTTCATTAAGGGTATATAGGTAATATGACATTTAAGTTAGGGCGACGTTTAGCAATTCTTAGGGCGACATTTAGCGATTCAGATATTTATTCTACTAGTGACAAGCTGTTAAGCATCCGGAGTTAACCCACTCGAATGATAGAACGACAATATTTTACCATGCTTTTTTAGAAGATATCATCCACATAACAAATGGATGTGGAATTTTGTTTTGGATCTTGTAACTTAGTTACTCTACCATGCCTTTTTGGATGAATGATAGAAAGG